GATGCCAAGAACAGAAAGATCCTGAGACATTGTGACGTGACATTTGATGAGTCTGTCCTGTACAAGGACAGAGAGCAGAAGGTTCTAGAGATTACAAAGCAAGTGGGAGTTGAGGATGAGTTTGAGAAGAGTAACCCAAGAGATGTCGAAGCTGATACTCAACCAACTCCTACTGAAGAATCTGAAGTGGAGCAAGTTACACCTGAGCAGGTGTTAAGGAGATCATCCAGATCCATCAGGACACCAGATAGGTATTCACCTTCATTACACTATCTATTGCTGACTGATGAGGGGGAACCAGAGTCTTTTGATGAGGCCCTACAGGCGGATGATTCGATCAAGTGGGAGCAAGCCATGGATGATGAGATGAGGTCACTTGAAAAGAATGACACATGGGTGTTGACTGAGTTACCTGCAGGGACGAGAGCTTTGCTGAACAAGTGGGTGTTCAGAATCAAGACTGAACCAGATGGCAAAAGAAGGTTCAAGGCTCGTTTAGTGATTTAAGGATATTCACAAAGGGAAGGTATTGATTATGCTGAAATATTCTCTCCTGTTGTGAAGTTAACCTCTATTCGAATTCTGTTGAGTATTGTTGCATCAGAAAATTTGCATCTAGAGCAAATGGATGTAAAAACAGCGTTTTTACATGGAGATCTGGACAAAGAGATCTATATGCAGCAACCGGAAGGATTTATGGTTCCAGGCAAGGAACACATGGTGTGCAAGCTCACCAGGAGCTTGTATGGAATAAAGCAAGCACCAAGGCAGTGGTACAAGAAGTTTGACTCCTTCATGACCAAGAGTGGATTCTGTAAAGCTGAAAAGGATCCTTGTTGTTTCTTCAAGAAATACACTGATTCATATGTCTTTCTACTCTTGTATGTGGATGATATGTTGATTGCAGGATCTAGTATGAGAGAGATTAACAATCTATAGACAAGGTTGTCTGCAGCGTTTGAGATGAAAGATTTGGGTCCAGCAAAGCAGATTTTGGGGATGAAGATTTCTCGGGATAGACCTGCTGGCACTTCAAATCTATCTCAGGAGTTGTACATTAAGAAGGTGTTGAGCAGATTCAGGGTTAATAATGCTAAACCCAGGACTACTCCATTGGAAAATCACTTTAAATTGTCAAAGGAGCAGTCACCCAAGACTGCCGAGGAGCGTGATCACATGGCACTTGTTCCATATGCTTCAGCAGTTGGTAGTTTGATGTATGCTATTGTCTGCACTAGACCTGATATAGCACATGCAGTGGGAGTAGTTAGCAGGTACATGGCGAACCCTGGGAAAGAGCATTGGGAAGCTGTGAAGTGGCTTCTGAGATATCTGAGAGGTACATCCAGTACTTCACTTTGTTTTTGCAAAGGCAAGGTGACTCTACAAGGTTTTGTGGACGCTGATCTTGGTGGGGATGTTGACTCGAGCAAGAGTACATCCGGGTACATTTACACCATAGGTGGAACAGCAATGAGTTGGATGTCCAGGCTTCAAAAGTGTGTTTCTCTTTCATCTACTGAAGCTGAGTATGTGTCAATAGCTGAAGCTGGGAAACAGATGATATGGCTGGCAGATTATCTTGAGGAATTGGGCAAAAAGTAAAGCGAGAAGATTCTTTACTCAGATAGCCAGAGTGCCATATAGTTGGTCAAAAATTCAGTCTATCATTCGAAGACAAAACACATCAGAAGGCGATACCATTTCACTCGCAGGGCAGTGGAGGATGGTGATACGTGCTTGGAGAAGATAGAGGGTGCAAAGAACCCGGCAGACATGTTGACGAAATGTGTTGATGTTGGGAAACTAAGGTTATGTAAAACCTCGGTTGGTCTTCTGTAGTTGTTGCTACAGATGTTGCGGTGCGGTAAAGATGTTGATGATGAAGAGATTTTTTTTGAGAATGTATTTTTTGGATGACTGAGTCAGTGTCCAAGTGGGAGAATTGTTAGGTAGTGGAGCCTGATTAATTTTAGGTTTTCCTATTTATTCTCTATTTTAGGCTTTCCTATTTATTATCTATTTTAGGCTTTCCTATTTATTCTCTGTAACAAAAAATACTCTGATTTATTAATATAAATATACCTCACCGCGTGGAAGTTTACTTGACGGGGTTTTACCACGAAATATTGGGTTTTCTCTTTCTCTTTCTAGATCTCTCATCTCTTTCTCTTGAAAGTTCTTGTGTTCTTCATTCATCTAGTGTTTGTGCGTGAATTTGATCCTAACACTACTAATCACCTATAACATACAATAATCATTAAAAAATGACATAACTATCTTATCATACATTAGAGTCAGGAAATGCAGTTACAAACACATGCACCTCTCAAGTACAAATCTGTACATAAATACTAAACAAAATAACAACAAATACATCAAAATTATTGTAGGTGTACAATGCGAAACAAAAGGTTGTGTTTCTTGCAGAGAGTATTACTATTATAAACTCCAAGTACGAACGGGTGAAAAATCAATATTACTACTATGTGGAAGATTGTTACAGCAGTTTTTCGTGGACATCTACATTAAAATAGAAACAACAAGACTTAAGTATTATAGGTTTGAGCAATCAAACTATAGAAGGGAGTCACTCCAAGGTATTGTTGATAGTGTCAAGTCTGGTGAGTGTAGAGGAGACAAAGTAGCACAAAGGGTATTATTTCCAGGATCATTCCTTGGAGGTCCTAGAGATATGCGACGACTATATATGGATGCTATGGCTTTGGTTCAACACTTTGGAAGACCAAATCTATTCATCACCATCACATATAATCCGGAATGGACTGAGACTCAAGAAGAATTGGGTGTAGGACAACTCGCTCAGGACCGGCCTGATTTGGTTACCAGAGTGTTTAGAGAAAAATTGCAAGACTTGAAAGACTATATATTCAAAAAAGAAATATTCGGACCAATTGTTGCACATGTTTTTGTGGTAGAATTCCAGAAGAGAGGCTTGCCACATATACATCTACTTCTAATATTTAAATAGGGTAATAAGATACGATCAGAAGATGAGTATGACAGATACATTAGTGTAGAAATCCAAGATAATGCCACAAATTCATAACTATATACATTAGTTACAAAACATATGATGCATGGACCTTGCAGGGAAAAGCATAAGATAAGCCCGTGCATGAAAGATGACGAATATAAGTTTCACTACCCTCGAATATTCAACAGAAAAACATTACAAGGAAAGGATGGATATCCAATTTACAAAAGAAGAAATGATGGGGGAACAAGTGAGGTCCGTGGAACGAAGATGAATAACAAATGGTTGTACCTTATAATCCCTATTTGTTGATGAGGTATAATTGTCACATTAATGTTGAGGTATTCTCAGGCATTAAAGCAATAAAATATCTTTACAAATATATATAAAGGACACGATAAATGTGTCGTATAAATTGAATCTGACGATGGAGAAAAAGTCGTAGATGAAATCAAAACCTTTCAAGATGCACGTTGGGTGTCTCGACCAGAAGCATTATGGAGAATTTATGAGTTCAACCTGACTAAAATGTAACAAGCCGTTATCAACCTACACTTACATCTTCCGGGCAAACAAGTAGGTAATTTACAATTACAACGCAAAATATTGTACATATTAAAAATTTATTAAAGACAATCAACATGAGTATTCATACTATACTAATAAACAATGTGCAGTTTGCTATTGGAAGAAGCAAAACCTAAAAAGTATAGTGGGATCAGACTTTGTACACCAAACTATGCTTACCGAGTATTTCAGGATGTGCTCTATAGACCTTGAAGCTCGTAATTATCTCTGCCGAGAATTTCCAAAGCATTATGTTTGGAACTCCCAGTCCAAAATATGGTAAAAAAATCTCGCACAGTAATTGGACGCATAAATATTGGTAAAATAATTACGCTTTATTTCCACATATATAACCTATACAAAATCAAGATTCTAACCAAATCAACTGAATATGCAGCTAATGCTAGAGAATGAGAAAGATATTACGAAAGACTTTTGTTAAATCATGTACGAGGGACAACTTCATTTGAAAACTTACTAACTGTTAATGGAAAATATTGCCACACATTTAAAGAGGCAGCCATAGAAAGTGGGTTATTAGAATATGATAATAGAATTTCTGAATGTTTACGACAGGTTGTCACCTTCAAGATGCCCGCAGCACTACGGAGTTTATTTGCTACAATATTATTTCATTGCAGCCCATTGGATGTGAGAAATCTATGGGATACATATTATGATAATTTCTCAGAAGATTTTCATAGGTGTCATTCTGACAAACCAGACGCACAACTCCAATATACCTTAAAAAACATTAATTAATACTTGACAAGTATGAGACAAAGTGTGGATAAATATGATATTCTACAAATCAACAACAATCACATCAAAAAATCACAATTGAATGTAGAGAAATAATCGATGAAAGGTCTATAATTGTTCAAGCCAAAGATCTTGATGCTCAATCACAATTGAATCAAAAACCACAAGCATTCAATACCATTCTGCAAAGGGTCAATACAGAAACACCAGGGATATTTTTTGTAGATTGACCTGGGGGAACCGAGAAAACTTTCCTATATCGGGCACTATTGGCTAACATGAGCTCAAAAGGTATGATAGCATTGGCATACCAGGGGTGTAGCAGCAATATTACCTGGAGGTCATATCGCACACTCAAGATTTGACATACCACTGCAAGCAAATGAGACAACAATGATAAATATGCCAAAACAAGGTGGAGGTGCACAACTAATTCGACAAGATAAATTATTAATATGGGATGAAGCACCAATGGATAAGCGACACACAATTGAAACTGTAGACAGAAGCTTTCGTGATATAATGTATAAGGACGTCCTTTTTGGTGGAAAATCATGGTATTTGAAGGTGACTTCCAACAAGTTTTGCCAGTGGTTCTAAAATCTACAAGATCTGAGATGGCAAATGCAAGTTTGGTGAGGTCGTATTTTTGGCCTTTAATGGAAAAGATACAACTTTCAACTAATATGCGAGCAATAACAGATCAAACTTTTAGTGACTTCTTGCTTCGTATTGGAAACGGACAAGAAACCACAATAAAGGACGATCAAATAGAAATTCCAAAACAAATGACTATCCAACAAAGTGGAGATATTAATCCTGAAGAATCATTGGTTCGGGAAATATTCCCAGAAATCAAACTAAATTACAAGTCGGCACAATATAACAGAGCACGCAATGTTAGCAAGAACAAATGAATTTGTAGATAAACGAAATGCAATAATGATTGAGAAATTCCATGGAAAAACAAAAACATACATCAATTTTGACTCAGCCGAAAATGATACCAACAACTACTATCAAGAAGAATATCTCAACAGATTGACACCAAATGGACTACCGCCATTTTGGTACGTTATCAAATTCAACTGAACTTTAACAATCACTTATTATGATACTTGATAGAAACATATAGAAGTTATCAGCGACACAATTACAAAAAACAAAACAAGTGACTAATTATTTTATTTTATACATTAGGTTATTTTTTAAAGAAATGCACCGTTTATGCTTCTGAGAAATTTAGACCCCTCAAATGGTTTATGCAGTGGGACACTCTTTATTTGTAGAGGATTTGAAAAAAATATCATACATGCCAAAATAACAACGGGTCAATATGCCACAAAACAAGTCTTTATTCCTAGAATACAACTTTCACCACCTGAGAGTGACGGATATCCATTCAAATTCATTCGGAAACAATTTCCAATACGTCTCTATTTTGCAGTAACAATAAATAAAGCACAAGGTCAAACAATACCAAATGTTGGATTATACTTACCGCAACATGTATTTTCACATGGACAACTATACGTGGCACTATCTATAGGAATATCTATGGCAACAACAAAACAAAAGTATTGGTCATAAATGAAGAACAAGATGGAGACACAAAGATATATACAAAAAATACTGTTTACAAGGAAGTCTTGAGTGAGATTTGACTACTACAAAGATATGAACCTAATGAAAATCCATTCAGACGTACGCATAGGACAACAAACAACGTCCGAATAAGACATTAAAGACATGTATGTTAATGCATTTATAGACACAACACAGTACAATGATTACAGACTATTCAAATCAAATTCAGTAAATACACGCTTCAAGATAAAAAAAATACACACTATTTATGTTTATATTAACAGTATTACATAATTGACAAGGAAGAAAGACAAATTAAAAACTAAATACAGGAGTGGTTACAACAAGTAAAATGACAGCTTTTAAAAACATTCAAAAGGATAGTCCTGCAAGAAACTAAAAACGACAACTCAGCAAAAGTACTACAATCAACCGCAAAGCTAATTGACCACAAAATAGTACCAAGACATTGGCATACACGCATCAAACTCAACATAATTAAGCCACAAGCAACCGACGTGCGGTTAATCTAGTTATTATTAAATGTGGAGAGCAAAAATTGGGTGTTAACAATGACATTATGAGGTTGCATGGGGTTCTGTTGTCTATCATCTCAGATAGAGGTCCTCACTTAACATCACGTTTCTGGAAGTCATTTAATAAATGTCTTGGTACTCAGGTAAGCCATAGCACAACATCTAATCCATAGATGGATAGCCAGGCTGAGTGTACCATTCAAACCTTACAGCACATGGTGAGAGATTTTGTGATTGATTTCAAGGATAGTTAGGATGATCACCTTCCTCTTATTGATTTCTACTAAAATGATTGTTACCATTCAAAAATTATGATGGCCCCTTGTGATGCATTATATGGAGGCAGATGTAGGTCACCAGGTAGTTTGTTTGAAGTAGTTGAAGCAACCTTTATATGGGATGATTCAATCCATGATGCTATGGAGAAAATGCAACTCATTATATATATACTAAGATAGCTAATAGTCGCCAGAAATCTTACGCGAATGTACGGAGAAGGGAACTATAGTTCGAAGTTGATAACTGATTTTTTTCTTAAAGTGTCTATTATGAAAGGGGTGATGAGATTTAGCAAGAGGGGGAAGTTGAGTCATAGATAAGTAATCATTTATAAGATCTTAAAAAAGATTGGTAAAGTGGTTTATGAGATAGAGTTGCCAACAACACTAGCAGCAATGAATTGGTTTTCCGCATTATTCTGTTGAAGAAGTGTGTGGGTGATACAACATCTAAATTACCTTTACAAAATGTGGCTGTGAAGGATAGTCTCACTTATGCAGTGGTACCTGTTGAAATCCTTCATCGTCGTGTTCAAAGGTTTAGAAACAAACAAGTTGCTTCAATCAAGGTTTCGTTAAGGTCACTCCATAAAGGGAGATACTTGGGAATCTGAAGAACACCCGAAGACAAATTATCCTCAACTCTTCCCTTCCGATTCTATTCTAGCTTTAAATGATAGTTCCTCTTCAGTTTTTCAGTCATGCATGCGAAAATTCAGTCTTATTATCATGCTCCTTATGTTTTTACTTGCATCTTCAGTGTATTTGAATGTTCTTGGAATTTAATTTACTTAGAAATTCAGTTCTCAATGTTTAGTGGTAGGGATTACAATCCTCTCCCAAAATTTTAGCAATTTTAGCCTTCAAAAAATGTTGGATATCCTAAGGTGGAGATAATGTCACACCCTGTGTCAAAAAACATAACATATTGCAATTTCTGGTATTGTACGGAACCCAGTGATTCTTGTTAACCTGTCAGCAAACTCCCCAAGAACTCAACCCAAAATTTTGGTTAACTGTTGACTCGTGAATGGACCTATGGTCCATAGTCAGGTGATGCACCATGATCCATTTCTATGGATCAATGCCCCCAACTCCTATCTTTAGTTGCGACGACGGTCGACCAGCAATGACCCTCAGTCAATTGACGGTCCATCAGTCCTGTTCGTTAGTGACTCTGATAGCCATTGAGTCAGGGGTCTATTGGTTGTTTTCTTATTCATTTGACCCCTAAAATACATTGTTTACACCCTAAATCGTGATGTTATAGTAAGTTTAAGCCTAGAAATATAACTAAAACTTACTAAAGTCAATTATTAATCAAAACATAGAAAAAATAAAGCTCGAGAAGAGAAAAGAGGTCAATAACCCTAGTCCAAGAGCACAACAAGATTCCATCAGTTCTAGCCAAGAAATTGGAATATTTCTCTTTGGAATACATCAACAAGTATGTGGAGTTTCAGTAGTGGGTTCATCTCGCCCAATAGATCCCTACATTTCAGTCAGATTCTTTATTCCCTTATTATAAAAAAAACCTAGGGTTTCTAGATTTTCATGGATTATTTATATAAATGTTCCAAATTAGATTTTCATATTATTACGTTTTTTGTTGCATGATTTCAGTACACTGGTTATATAGCTCTTTATTTCTTGAATTACACATGCTAGGACAAATATTTCATTTATTTCAGATATACATGCCTTAGTTTTTGAATGTCTCATTATCAATATAATAATGTTGCATTTTCAATTTGCATGTCTTTTTTAAGCTATCCAGTATATTATAGAAGTTCAATTATAATTCCTTACTCATTTAATTTATTTGGAGTAGTCTAATACCAAGTTGGATTAAGGTAAAACAACCATATAGTCCCAGAACTCTGAGCCACATATATTGTAAGTCCCTTATGTGGGCATTTTTTAGTGATCACGCCAGCATATCTCTAGACCTATGGCAGGGTATATTTGGTCCTCTTGATGGAGCGTATACATCGGACTCCACATTTATCTCGTGTGGTTTTATTATCGTTTATTAATAGCGTATACAGTTTATTCAGACTCCATTGTATTAACCACATTTCAAAACAGTCAGTATTCAGTCTCAACATGTTAAATTTATAATTGTAGTTAGTTAGCCCAGTATTCAATATCAATATCTTGTTCAGATTATTCTCTTTCTTTATTGTGTTCCCTTATATGCTTATTTTAGCTTTATTATATCATATATGCTAAGTACCTTTCAAATACTAACACATACTTTATTTATGCTACATCTTATCGTGATATAGGTTCAAGTCCCCATCAGTCAGATCACACATAGATCAGTTTCCAATCTTCAGATTTTCAGCATCAGTGGGGAGTCTTCATTCTCCGAGGACTAGTGACATTTTTTTTATCATTATCACTTTTAGCTTTATTTTAGTTATTGCTAGATATTGTTTGGGCATATCCCAACATTTCTAGTTAATTTAGAGGCTTATTTCAAACATAGTTAGTTTTAACTTTAGTTTTAGAGTTTGACTTTTATCTTGTATTCAAACTTTAGTTTCCTATATTTATACAATATATGTATATTCCCCATCATTTAGACATCCATTATTATTTAGATTTCGTACAGTTTTATTGTTCAACTTTTTTAAGTATACTCATGATTTTACAATGCAGGGTTAACTTGGGGTCACTTGTTATCCTACATTTCGTGTCCGTGTCTCGGGGTAGCTCGGGGTGTGAAAAGTTCATAAGGAGTGTTTCCATTCAATATATGAGTTGGAGTTCGATTTATAAGATACATCGTAGTCAAGAAACATTCTCCCAAAAATGATATTGGCAAATTAGTTGGGAAACGGAGTGCATGTGCCACATTTAATATATGACAATGCTTCTATTCCACTCATCTATTTTGGTGAGTCGTGTCAACACAAGTTGTTTGATGCACTATGCCCTGATCTGTATAGAAAGAATGAAGACAAGTGAACTCTATACCATTATCACTTCTAACAAGTTTTTCCCTTCATCCCAATTGAGTTATAAATAGATAACAAAATTCTTTTTATCTTGTGCTTAACTTCACTTCTCTCAGCCATTATGTAGACCTAGACACCACGAGAAAAATCATCCACAATAGTAAGTAAAGAGACTGCCCCACAAGAAGATGGACTGAGATAAGGGCCCAATACATCACAATGAATTGACGATTCAAATAAATCAGCACTTTATAAAAATTATTAGAAAAAAATTCTCGTGTTTGTTTTGATCTTAAAGAAAGACTACATAACTCATATACTCTAGTATGACTACTTATTCAAGGAAGACGAGAAACTATCTTACTGGAAGGATGACCAAGTTGATGATGCCATAATTAAAAAATATCCACCTTATGAGTGCTATTTGCTTGTGCTTGCGCCTTGAAATGTAACATCCCCTAAATATAAAGAACTAAAAAAGAATTTAAAAGAGGAAATAGTCATTTTGGAAAGTAGAATGTAAATTTTGAAATTTTTAGGTGTGTTAAAGTAA